CGCGGGCAGGGCAGGCAGGGCGGGCAGGGCAGGCAGGGCACCCGCGGTGCTGCCCCGGGTAGGGCTGGGCGAAGCTCAGCCTGGGGACATGAGCAGCAGCACAGGGCTCTGCAGCCCCTGGGGGGGGGCTGCCAGGAGGAGGAGGAGGAGGAGGAAGGATGCTCGGAGGGATGCAGGCGCAGCGCAAGGCAGCAGGGATGCTCCCGAGGAGGGCAGGGGGCCTGAATCTGGTCGGGTGTTGTGTTGGGGGGTTTTGCTGGAGCTGGGTGTGAGGGCCATCCAAGGCAGCGTCCCCCTCACCCCGGACACAGCAGGGCTGTAGCGTGGCTTGGCTGTCCCAGCATCTCCCTGAGCAGCCGGGCAATAGTCCTCAGGGAAATGGGAGCGTTGGTGTTGCTGAGGGATTTCTGTGCCGTCCACGAGTGAGGGACGGGGCCCGGGAAAAGCCAAATTCCTCTTTCACATCAGGCTGATGAGAAGGTCTGACTTAAAAACACCTGTGAGGATCTATTACCAAAAAAACTTAGCAAAAGGTGATGCTTAAATAACATTCAGGATAGCAGAAGCTTCACCTACAACACCGAGAGGGACAGCTAGAACACACGAATGTGTGGAGCGCGGTGCATCAGCACTGCTTGAGAAACGGCTGCTGCTGAGCTTTTCATCTCCCTCGAGTGTGGTCGCGCACTTGGACATTAATTTAAACGCTATCCAAAGGTTTACGGAGAAATTGCAGTTGCCTGCAGGGTGGGAGGGAGCAGCGATTTAAACAGCCCCTTGCAGCCCCATCCCTGCCTGCAAGGAAACATCCTGCCCGGCAGCAGAGGCACAAGGACACTTTAGGGAGAGAAAGTGGGACGGTTTCCCATGTTTATTGATCTGTGTGCCAGACAGTGAAGAGGTTTAATAGCCGATTACAGAGCACAAATGTATCACCCCAAAATAACAAAAAGATCATTAAATTGAAGAGGTTGATGGAAAACAATGAGGGGAATAGGAAGTGCCAACCTCTGGGGGACAGACAAATCAAATATCTCGATTTGGTTGGACTAGATGACCTTTAAAGGTCCCTTCCAACCCAAACTATTCTATGATTCTATGATTGGTGTTTGTTGTTAACCATACAACTATTAATAGTGCCAGGAATGGGTAAAAATAGCCTGCTTGAAGCCTTCTCTTAGGTTAACAGGCTTCAGTAATGGAAAATCCATTTGCTCCCTCCAAAAGGCTCTTTGGTGACAGCAAAGGCAGAGCACACCACGAGGCAGATGTGCCGCCGGGGTCCCAAGGGCTCGGCTCAGCTCAGGGGTGCAGGGTGCAAGCAGAGCCACCCTACTAGGGACCCCTTGGGATCAAGGACAGGGATCCCGGGCTGGTGGAAGAGATGTGATGGCTGCAGAAGCTCCTGGGGAGAGGACGTGGGCACTGCCTGCGCTGTGCCAGAGCCCAGCTCCTCGCAGAGTCACGCAGAGCCTGAGAAGAGCATTACGAGGCATTAGGCTGAGTCCCCCAAGATCATCTAGAAACTCATCTCCTGGTGAAGCAGAGCACGTTTGCTGCGAGACAGCTGCCAGTGATTGATGATAAAGGAACCACCTCGCTGCGAGGCAAAAGCCTTCCCACGGTTATGACTCTGTTAAAAATCACTACCTATTTCTGACCTGACTGCAAATAGCCCGAGTCTTGAACAGGGGCAGTTAAAATAGCGTTTTGCCCCACGGCTGCCATACCACCTGCGCAGAGTTTGATCTTGCCATTTGTGGGGTGTTTTGCTCCTTGCCCAGTTTTGGAGGATACAAGCTCTTTGCTTGCTCACGCAGCAGCTCGGTACAGCAAGAGCCGCAGGCAGGTTGCCGTGCACAAAACCCAGTGACTGCAGACACCTTTAATGGAATCAAACATCTTTGGCACAGATCAATCCCCTGTTTCTTGCTATTTCTTTCCCTGTTTGCTCCCTCCTGGGTTTACCAGCCACCTGCCAACGAACAAAACCTGCCCGGCCGCTGTGAGTGAGTGGGTGAAGAAAGAAAATTCCACGAAAGTCACACAAACATCCCGGCAACAGAACATGCGGCTCCCCAGGGTCCAGCTTGGACGAACTGTGCAAGCAGCAAAATAGAGCTCGCAGCACCACCAGCCTCTGCAAAAATGTAGGAAGCAAAATGTACCAGGAGGCAGAAGCGTGCATCGCGCTACCCAGCCCAGGGACAGGCGAGTGGGGGGATACTCGGAAAAGAACGATTACATCAGAACATGACTTTGATTTCTGAGTGCGCTGCAGAGCCGGGAAGTATCATCACCCCAGGGTCGAGCCGGCCTCGGTTCCCGGCTGCATCCTACGGGTCTAAGTGGTGAAAAGTCAAGACTGGAACAGCCGCTTGTGCCTTTCCCACCCCAGCACACGCAGACCCCAAGGCATCTCCCAGGCCACAGACAGGACCACATCCAACATGAGCTCCTTATCGTTGCGTTAAGATGTTTCACGTCCTACCAAGGGCTTGTCCCCTGCACATGGCATTCCCTGGCTCCGGAGCAGGGCTTTGCAGGTACGCACATGGAGCCAAGCCAGCTCCCCAGCCAGGCTTTCCTGGCTTCCCTATTCCTGCTTTTTTCCCCCCAGGACAGGGACTTGTTCTTCAGACAGGGACCCTCTCTCTCTTTGGTGTACAGCACCCCAGTGTGCTGCTCATTAGCCCACTCACAAATAACCACAGCGTGGGCTGTGCGTTTCCCAGCAGCTGCTGGTGAATAGCGGGGTCTTGTGGGACCCCAAATCCTGCCCTGGCTGCTCCCTGGGATGGGAGGAGCGGGGGGATGGAGGAAGAAGGGAGCAGCTGGGTAGGGAAGGGAAGGGAGGCTTTAGCTAGAGCTCTTGCTTGTCCCCCTGGGGAAAAGCATCTGATTAAATCAAGATGCAGCATCCAGGGTTGCTATTCATTCCCTATATTATTAGCTTGTCTCATTTTATTAAATCTCCTTTAAGGCTTTTCAAAAGAAGCACGTAATTCACAACATATAATTTTTCCCAGATGAGATATGATGCAGAAGCAGGCTGCTCTGCCACTGGGGACCAGGGGGGGTGGGTTTATTTGTTTCCTTCCCCCGCCCCCTACTTCTTTAGCAACACTTTTCATGTCTCTTGATTCCTTTTAGCATTTGGGATTTGATTAACAGAGAATTTGAAAGCCTGAGACATGTCTCAAATCCCCAATTCCTTGAGTCATCCAGGCAAGGGGTGGTGAGAGCTCCCTTAGAGACACCATCCCTGTGGCCGGTGAGATGCAGTTCCCGAAGCAGGCTTGTGCCATGCCGTGGTCTCCAGACTTTCTGTATCTATTCCCCTTCTCCCATCTTTGGTGTGTGCTTGCTGTGATAAACTTGCCAAAAACCCACGGCAGGGGCTAAATGCCCGTATTGCGGTACAAAGCCGGGAAGCGGCACGCTCCGGCAGATCGCTTGGTGCTGCTGCTTTCCTTACCGGCAGCGCAAACGTGTTCTGGATGGCTGAACACATGGTGAGACCTGGGGTTTCGGTGGCACCGCTCCACAAGGAGACTTGGCTTCGCCGCCCGGCTGCCCTGGGGATGGTGCCCCACTCTCCCACCATGGAAACATCTTCCTTCCAAGTTCACCAAGGTGACATTAACTCATCGTCGATAACCACGTGGCACAGCTGGGTCAAGAGCTCTGTACAGAGCAGAACTGGGGTTCCCCGAGCTGGGGGCACCCTGGGAATCCTCTGCTCCCAGTTTTCATCCCATCTTATGCCATCCGCTCGCCTGCGGTTTGCTCGGAGACAGCAGCATCCCGCCAGCATCCGGTATGGACAAAGGCGTTTGTGTGTCCTGGACGTGTCCCCAAACTCCGGCACCTTCTGCTCCTTTCCAAAGAGCGGCAGCCTCCCTGGGATTAGAGAGAAATGTCACCTGTAACCGGAGACGGGCAGCAACTGGGCTTGGAATATAAGGCACGGGAGAGAGGGAGGCTTGGTGTCCCCAGCAGACGCATTGTTACAGATTTCAGGAGTGTTCCCATGGAAATAGTGATGGCTGCCAGGGTTATAGGTATATAAAAGCCCAAGAGGAGGCAGGGAGCCGGCCGGGCAGTGACAGGCTGGAGCTGGCAGAGGGATGGGCAGCTGGTGCTGAAGGCTCGGAGCCTGGAGGTGTTTCGTGTCTAGGTCCCGCATCTGCCCTCTCTGCTTCGGCTGTGGGGACCGGAGGGTGCTGAGGCCAGCGCAGGGTTTGAGGCTGCGAGTGGAGGTGTTGAGGTTGGGGAGGGTTGAGCTGGATGAGGGCTGAGCCCTGCTCGGTGCCAGTGCCCAAATTGAGGACCCTCGAGGCTCTCGCAAATGCTCAGCCCTGGTGCAGCAGCAAAGCAGAACTGCAGGCAGAGCCTGGCCCCAACTTCTCCTTCCCGGGGGCTCTGCCTCCCTCCTGCGATCCTGATTCAGAAAGGAGCCGCGCTCCGTAAGCAATTCCCCTCTGAAGAAAACACAACATGGAAAAAGCAGCACATTCCTCAGATTTTTTTTTTTGAAATAAGATCCAAGGAGGATGCAGCGCAGCGTGGCCAGCTCACCGGGCTGTCGCGGGGCGGCTTTTTAGTGTGCAAATTAAAGAAAACAGCCTCGTAACTTGTCCTCTGGCACATGGTGGGAGCTCTGTGCGTAAAGGCCCCTGGGGTGGAGGGCGGAGGTGGGCCGGGGTGGGTTGGATGACGTTTCCGTGCTGTCCCTGGCAGGATTGATGCGGAGGGCAGGGTGCTGGTGCTCTCCTGGCGCTGGGGCTCATTTTGAAGCATCCCCTGGGCACCCACGAGACGGGGGTTGCCTGCATCCGCAGACCCCAGAGCAGGACACTGCCAGCGGTGCCCATGCGGCTCAACCCCAGCTCTGCCAAGGCGGGACGGATCCTGGTCCTGCCCCAGGCATTTGTTTGGGGACCAACACTGGTGGTTTCCCACTTGGAAATAGCTTCCCACCAGGGCGTTCTTCCCATCACATTTTTTTGTGACCATTTAAAGCCCAGACTGCTTTCCCTACGCAGTGGGGATAGAGGAGACTGGTTTATTCCCCTGTAAAGATAAGTCCTGCCATGTCCCCCATCTGCCTTCTCTGGATTAAGGGGTCTCTGATAAAGTAGTCGGTGCCCAAACTGCTCCTGAAAGCCCCTGTACCGCCCGCGCTCAAAGCTCATCTTTTTTATTTGCATCAAATCCCAACTGCTGGCAGAGAAGCACACCTCCCCTGCCCACCGAACGGCCAGGCGGAGGATCAACCTCAGCATCGGGATGGGGGCAGGAACCACCTCCAGAGCCCTGAGCCCCCCATTTCCCTCCATCTTCCCAAATAGCAAAAGTGCAGACTCAGCAAGCCAGGCCTGGCAGGAGCCCGATGAGAATCGTGACTTCTCCATCGCTCCATCGATGTGACATGTGCTGCCTTGATTGCACCATGTGTTTATTCTCTGTTCCTGGCTAATCGTGTGTGTTTGCCACCTAAGGGCCAGTGGCCATCCCTCCCCTGGGTGAAGGCAGTGCAGCTCCGCTGGATGAAAGCAAACACAGGCATGGGATTACGGGTAGTCACAATGGAGAGCAGAGCTTTTGGGGATGTGTCCCCGGTTCTAGATGTCCCCGCCATCAGGTCGCCTTCAAAGGAAAGGACCTCAAGATGTAGCCTCCATCTCCCAAAGCATCCCTGGGTGAAGTATCCCACCAGCGTGGAGCTGGCCCTGCATCGCGTGCCTGTCGCTGGGGCCGTTTGGCTTTGTATGGGGGATCCCCCCACCCCACCAAAAATTACATGTGGTTTCAAGGAGGGGAGACACGTGCTGGGGAGCCATGCAAGAGGCCACATGGAGAAAACCCGGGTGGACACAGCCACTGGCGGGGGCTGCGCAGCAGGACGGGTGACCCGAGGCAGCGCGGTGAGATGGACTTGGTGACCCTGCCGTCCCTGCCATGCAGGAGTTGAGATTTAACCAATTTCTCCTTTCTCAGTGTTTGCTCTGGAGAAATGTCCCAAACATCAAGGGAGGTGTTATCGGTGGCATCTGCACACAGCCTCACGTGCGGCATTTCCCAAGCCCGCAAACAAACCACCCTGCCAAACTCATGTGGGCCCAGCAAGCCCCACACTGGATTTTTTAAGCCACGAAGTTCTGAAAATGGACCCATGACCACTTTTCCAGGGACCCCCCACTTGGTCCTCAACACCTCCCCAAGAGCCGGAGGGATGCGCCCAGCCGTGCCGGCACGGCACCGGGTCTGCAACCAGCTGGTCCTGCGGATCGGAGAGTGCAGATCTCTCCTTGGGAAGCAGCAGGAGTCCCCCGTCCTGACCTGGAGGCCACGAGGTCCATCCCTGCATCAATGCAGGATACGGCCCAGCTGCAGCCAGGCACTGGCCCTGGGGATGGGAAGGGGCGAAATAGCTCCGACACCACTAATGCTTCATGCTCAGCCTGAAGGTTTCATCCCCACCCTCTGTAATCTCAAATTCTTAGAAATATTAGGTAATTGGAGAGGAATCCATCTTTTTCCTTAAAACCGGCGAAGGAGAGTTCCTTAGTCCCTCACTGTTAAATACTATAAAACAATATAAATAATGGTCTCTCTGTTTTTCCTCCCCGCAGCACCGGTGTGCAGCACAGCACCACCGGGACTGGACCCGGCCAGAGCCAACCCCCCCACCCGACGACCCCACAAGATGGGCTTGAATATCACCTTCCAGCTCCTTGGTTTTGCTTTAGGAAACAGAGCAGATGCCTCTGAAACGTCAAACTCCAGCTTTACGGCAGCCAGAACCAGTTCTGCGAACGCAGTGACACATTAATCCTCACTGGCTGCTGTGGGAAGAGCTATTAAAAATGGGGATATATCTGGCATAGCCCCAGAAAAACCCTTGTGCAATGCAAAGCCAACACGGAGCGGCTGGGAAGTGAGAAGGGTTGGGTTTGAAATGGCAGAGCAAGGGGGAAGGAGTCCATGAAGCCGGACCCAGCGCAGCACTAAACCCCTGTGCTTTTGGGATGCTGTGGGCATGGAAGGGGAAGCAGCTGTCATTGGGGTGACAGACACCCATCTAGGGGGGCTGATCCTGGCTGGGGATGGGAATGGTACAACTGGGGTCCCCCCGGCCTCGCAGCGGGGACAGGGAAAGGCGTACACGGTCTCCAGACTGGGAATGAGACAGCACGAATACAGCCCTCGCTGTGTTCTCGTTAAGATTAATCCTTCCTGAACAAGCATGTGTCTCTTCGGTAAATACTGATTTCACCTATCAACAAATCTGAATTTATTTACATCAGAGACTTTGAGCCAGGACTGCCAACTCTGACATAAATTGTCTGAATAATGCAACGTGTCCTCTCCTTGCTGGTTGCTATGGGTACTGGGCTGTTTTAGCCTCCTTCTATAAACATTAACCATGAAGGGGATGTGGAAACTTATCTAAAAATAAAATACTATGCCCAAATCTTTTAAGAGGAAGGTCGTTGAGATGGCGATAAAAAAGTCCTTGGGTAATGGTTCTGAAGCAGTGAAACACAGCATCCGTGAGCCGGGCCGAAGGAAACAGAGGCTGGACTGAAAAGAAACCAACGCTTTTAATTCCTGCTGAGCAATGCCTGAAAGGTGAATTACAACATGCAAAAGCAAAAGGAAATCGGACCGTTTCGCGGAGGTGACGCTGAGAAAAGGGAGGACCCTCTGCAGAGGTGCCTGCGTGGGAGCTGGCAGCAGCACAGCTCCCTTCTCCAGCGCCACTGCCGGGGGCTTTACGTTGCTTTTTTTTTGGTCATTTACAGCTTATTTCTCAAACTGTTCTGGGAATCTGTAAACACTGAGCCTGGGTCTGGAGCATCACCCTTGGGATCTTCCCATTCAGGGCAGGATCCGGCACCAGGCTCTTTGGGACTCGCTGAGGCTGGTGGCAGGGGCGGAGGGGCAGATCCGTACCTGGCTGCTGCACAGCGTGGAAAGCAGAAGCAGCCCTTTCCCTCCCTCCCACCCACTGCCCCTGCAAGGCAGTGAAAAATAGCTGGAAGGCACTGGGTGATGGGGAAGGCAGGCAGGACCCTCACGTGGTCCCTGGGGAAAAGGAGTGGGAAAGGCTGGGTGGGTGCAGGGGGAGCCAGGGCACGGACACGGCCAGGAATGGGATATCTGCAGGGTGCGGATGGGGACTGACTCTTCCCCTTGGTCTTCTCCATGCCAGGGCTTCCCCGCGGGATTGCTGCTATCCTTCCATCATTCCCCTTGGGCGGTGGTTTAGGTCATACGTTCACATCTACGTGCTTTTCAGTCACCTTTCTCGGAGCCTTTGCAAATAGCGCAGAGATGCTACAGGGCTCCGCACAGGTGGGAAACCACAGCTCTGGATGGGAAGGTTTCCCTCTCCCAGAAAAGAGCGGGTCTGTTGTTGGGTTTGCAGCAGGTTTTTGTTGTTGCTGAGTTTGCAGCAGTTTCCCCTCTTCCTTCCCCAGCCGTGTTTGAATGCCTCAGGGGTTCCTGAGCCCTCTCCGTTGCTTCGCCTGAGCTTTTGTTTGCTTCCTGTGGCTCTTCAGCAGCATCTTCAGATGATCTTCAGGATCAGCCGGAACCAGTGCTTCCTTGTATTCAGAGCTCGCTTACGAAAGCCCCGCCGGTGTCTCCATCATTAACTCTGCTTGCCCTCCAGTCCGGGGCTGGAGCTGGGTTGCTTTTTTCCCTGCAGATCTCCAATAGTCGGTGTGGGAGAAGAGGTCATGAGGTCCCACACCATGTGGCTCCAGGGAGAGCATCGCCTTTGTGGCAGGAGCCACAGTGACCCGGCAATGGGGACAAGGACCTGGGGACAGGGACCTCCAGCTCCCACGGGCTGCAGCGAGGAGGTGCCGCCACGCTTGGGCTGTTCCTCTGATCGCTTCCAATACTGCAGGGTGCTCAGTTGGCTCATTAAGGGTTGCTGGGCTAATTAGTAGGATACATCTCAGTAGGAAAACGGGCAAATCGGACAGCGTGGGGACTGGAGAGGCACGCTGTGCCGAGGTATCCAAGACACTGCTTTGCAAAAGGCAAAGAGATGAGAGTCTGTTAGGGACCTCACTGGTGCTACAGCATCTTAGCATCTACAGCATGGCAGAGGCTACGGGACTGCCAAAAACTCAGCAGTGCCCTGTGCTCGTCCAGCCTCTCCAACCACCAGCTGGGAGACGCACTGGGAGTTTCATTTAACCCTAGGGAAAGGAGTCTGGGCAGGAACTTAACCTTTTGTAGAAACTTTTGGCCCAAAAAAGCGAACCCAGACTGAGTTTCTGGGGTGAGCCGGTGCAAGCCTGCATCCAGAATGGTCCCGGCTGGGGCACGGAGCAGCCTGGAGGGGGGATACCCCATTTCCCTGTGGGGTGGTGGGGCACGCATGCCCTCTCGCACCATCCCTGCCGCTCGCTGGAGCACCCCCCATGGCCAATAGCTGCTTTTTTTCTACCTGATTTAGACTAAGCCTGGAGCCTCAAAGCTCTCCAGCAATTTTCCCCCATGCTGACTCTCAAGTATATAATCAAACCAATTTGGGGGTTGCTGGTCGAGTGCCAAGAGGCGGACACAACCGCCACCGTGTAAAGCCTTCCCGCCTGGGTTTTTGTGGAGCTTTGAAGCCCAAATCCCTTGAGAAGTGCAGGAAGGGCTCTGGAGGAGCTGGGGAGGGCAGGGCTGGGCAGGGGTGTGCTGGGAGGGCAGGTGGTGCTCCCGTCCCCATCTAACGCGCTCGTAGGTGGGGGAGCCCAGCAAAGAAGCCCCTCTCACCGAAATGCTGATCGGCAAACATACCTGTCGCTACTTGTTCTTCACTCCTTTCTGTTTCTGCCGATATATTTCCTCTGTGAAAGGCCTGTGGTTGGGAGGATGGGAATTTGGGGATAGAGGGGGCAGGGACACAAGAGAGGGGCAAAAGAAGGGGGGGAAGAATTAAAATCAAGACTACGGTGTGCTCTCCTTTGGGCCCAGAAACTCTGCCCTTCACAGGTTGGCACAGTCTGACTATTCCTGTGCCATGGCAATCCTCGGCTCGGTCTCTCTGGACCACAGAGCAGCTCCAAGCTGCTCCCACCTGGGACCTGCCCTGCACCGAGCAGGATGAGGCTCAGCACACGCTCAGACTCCCCCTGCACGCAGACCGGCCTCGGCTCTCTTCATTTCCTCCTCCCTTGCAAACACAAAAGACCTTTTACTGCTGAAGTACAACCGCTGCTTCTCGGAATAATTCTGGGCTGCTCCATCCTGGGCTGCCGGGCTATTGTTGCGCAAAATATCAGAGAAGCCCATCCGAGGAACAACAAAATGCAAGCTCTTTTTGCAGGGTGTCTTCAGATGAGACAATGAGTCCTCTCACTGCCTTGCTTATTGTTCTTGTATAGACAGAATCAGGCACCCGAAAGAAAAAAAAAGATCTCATTTTGGAAAAAATAAACAAATGCATAAATGTTCCTAGAACTCAGCAAATTGTTTCAGAGAGGAATCTGCCCATTATCAAAACAATTGAAAAACAATCCTCTGTTTCCCTTCCTCCCCACTGAATTAATTGGAAAAAAAACCACCTCTACTTCTGCAGTTCCCCGAAACCTCGGGAGTTAAAGCTGGTAGAAATAATTAGAAGCTCTCCAGTTTTACAAAGCTACTCACCCCTCATACAGCATTGCGATTGTGTAGGAAATTGCCACTACAGCTGTCAGCAAAAGGCCAGCTGGGCTTGCATGCCTGTTTTGAAAGAGAAGGAAAAGATCAGGTAAGTACCTGGGCTTATGCAAGACCTGGTTTAGAAAGTGAAATGAGACGCTGGGCTCCATGAGAGCACTCTCTTGCTCATTAAACAGAAGCGAACAAAAGGGTGGGGGTTTTTTGTACTTAATGTTAAGTGCCTTAGACAGATGTTCCTTGGCAAAGACTCTTCCACAGCCTACTTCGGCGACTTCTTTTAAGTCTGATCCCTGCTCCTCTCTGCTAAGAGAGCTTCTGCTTTGATGCTAAGTCCTGAGATTATAAGGCTGTTTAATAATAGCTGAGCAGCTGCTTACGTATGGCTGTGGCTCCCAGCCAGCGCGCTATAAGGGAAATGCCTGGTGTGCACCGAAAGATGGGCCACCCAAAGTGCAGGAGGCACCTGGCAGACGGAGCAGCGTATGGTACCATACACATCGAACCTGTGGCTGAGCCAGCACAGGGCTGGGGATGGAAAGGGATGGAAATATCCATGCCTGCCCTGTGAAAGGTGCTGGAGTGGGTGCTGTGTCAGGGCCGGGTGCGTGGGGGCTCAGTTCACAATTAAACCCATTTCAAGATACTTAGGGATATGTCCCGTCACCTCCCCAAGGCCCAGATGAATGGTGTCCTTCAGCAAGAGGTCACCAGGCACCGCACCGTGTGGTTATGGGCACGGGTCCTCGAGGGCTGGGGATGCGACGGGAGCGGCTGTTCCTTTTAGCACCAAGGCCAAAGAATCAGGACCAAAAAATCCCCATCACCTCCTGGTCTAAAGAGAGATGTCAATGTAGGCAGCAAACCTGCACCACCCACGTGGGGCCACTTCTTTGATGCTTGGCCTGAAAGTGTCTGAGATGCCAGCGAAGGCAGCGGGGGCTTTGCTAAGGCACCAGGATTTCAGCGGGCGGGTTACAGTCCCCAAACCAGATGCCGACATCATCCCGGGGTGTGTAAATTCCCCCAGGTGAGAGCGGCTACACCAGCAGCCCTTCCCCTCTTGCTAACCCAGCACCCACGAGGTCCCAGCACCATCTCTCCCCAGCAAGAAGCGTGGCTGCGTCTGGCTCACCACAGGCACCAGCCCCCTCGCAAACACCCTTTCTGCACCCTACACCTCCAGCTAACGGCTGGAAGTGTTGCTCTTAATTAGGACACTGCTGATTGCCTTTAATTGCTGGTCACAGCTCAGCTCTGAGGGAGCTGGCTGTCAGCAAAAAAAAGTACTGAGCTGGTCCTTGGTGAGGATTAACATCCCACAAGCCTTGTGCAAGGGGACTAGCCCTGTCAGGAAAACGTGCCTTCAGAGGAGAGACCAAACCACCTAAACCTCGTGCTGGACCTGCCGTCAGGTGCTGCCCGGCCACATCAGTTCTTGGAGAGACGCACACAAATCTTCACCTTTTCACTGTTTCCATTTTGCAATAAGTTTTTCCCTCATTAGGAAGCATCGGGCAACTTCTTCCTCTCCCAACCCCCTGCTATTACATGCTTAGTCATGTCTCCTCCTTGATTCCTATCAGAGAGAACAAATTTACATGATTGTTTGTTGACAGCAAGACCTCTAATTGCATCATTTGGCTGCGGCTCCAGCTCTGATTTACACAGCCTGTTGCCATGAGTTAAAACACTTTCCTACCAGAGATACACAAAGCTGTCCCCAAACAGCTAATGCTCCATTTGTCTTTCAGGAGAAACGAGGTTGCTCGACGCGGGTGATGAGAAGCATTTGGGTGAGTTGTTTCTCTCCTCTTAGGAGCTCGACCTACTTATTGGGCAACGGCTCGTGTTGTAGCAGCATTGACGATGAGTCAGCCAGGAAGGTTTCTTGGTCCTGGTAGGACTTTTCTGGGGTAGGAAATCTGTCCGTCCCCAACCCTTGCTGCAAGAGCAATAGCGTGGGCTCGCATCCTTCCCCACTGGCCTCACTGGTCCTGGGTGTTGGACGTGGAACACCCACTTTGCCCTTTCCTCTTGGAGCTCCTGTTTTCATGGTGATCAGCAGAGGTGCCTTCTCCAGTGTATCTGGCGGACACATTTTTGGCTGCAGAGCTGCCATCAGTTGAGCTGGGGATAGCTGCAATTTCATGCAAGGGAGAAAACGGCGGCTCTCGACCCATGCGATGCTTTTAAGGTTGGACCGGAGTTGGAAGGCAGGCTGTCTGGTGTGCTGCCAGGCTCACTTACGTTATGTGGTATGTGCACTTACAGATGAAAATGAATCAATCCTTTGGGCTCCAATGCCACAATATGGAGCGTGATACATCACCAAGGGAGGACAAATATGCTTTACGTTTTAGATCTGACCAGAACCAGACGGCAGACACATTCCTCCGGCATCCCTCCCGCCGCCACGGAGCTGGGGCGTTAGCTCTGGCCTCCAAGGGCAGATACCTAACATCTTCTGAAAGCCCTGGGACCTCAGAAGAGACCTAGGACTCCCCCCAAAAATCTCAGCAACCTGAGCAGAGATCCCAGGGAAGAGAAAGAGTCAAAACCACCACATGAAGGGTTGTGCAGAGCTTCCCCAGGGCAGGCAGGCGGTGTCCTGGTGCCACTTTGCACAGCTCCAGCAATTTGTTAACAGCAATTATTTGTCATGCCTCGCTGCCCTTTATGGTGGCAGCCTTTTAATGAGAAAAAGGAGGCAATCACACTGTTGTCTCGAGCCACTTCAAGTGGCTTTTGCCCAGGATTGCGGTGGAAGACCAAGCGACGTGCACCTGGTGTGAGGTTGCTGTCTCGTGGCAGCAAAGAAGGGATTTCTGTGACAGAAACAGCTCAGAAGGGTTCAGCTGGTTCTGCAAAGGTTCTAGGAAATAGTTTGATGCTGATCTTAAACAAATAAAAACCTCCTTATAATTCCTCCTGGTCAAATTCCTCCTTCTGTGCTGTTGTAGGGGTAGTGGTGCTGGTCATCTCCAGTTGCGGTACAGTATGGGGGGGCTCATCCTGCCCCAGCTCTGCTCCACTCTCCCCAGCAATATCCACGCTGCCAACCCCATGGCTGGCTCTCCTGCACTTTGCTCTGGCTCTTGTGCCCCACTTCCCGGGGTTTAGACCCCATCCAGTGTCGTGGGTCTGCCAGGAAGGCAAACAGCCTCGTGTAGCCAGCCCTGACAGCACCGAGGGGAATTTCAAGTGCAGAATGAACAGCAGCAAGTCTCAGTGGAGACAGGAGAGAAACCATCAGCTGTTACCATTTACTTATTACCAGAGTCCAGAAAGCACTGCACACATGGCTGAAAAGGTGACTTCGTTTTTCCCACCAAAGCAGAAGAGAGCTGGTCACACTCAGGAGCACCAAAGAAAGTATTTAGTGATAAAGGCCCACAATGCTCTACAGGCTCCTGATGTAACACAGCCAGGGTTTATTTCTCCTGGGCAAATAAATAAAATGCGATATTAAATGAAAACCACATAAAACTTGTTACACAGAATAGAGTATATTTCTCATTTGCTGCTAAATTACAGCCTATTCATTTCCTCCTAAGCAGGCTATTGAGCTGTGTTGTATCACATGAGGAGTGTTTCGGAAGTGTTATCACCATGCAGTGGGGAAAAGGGTGTGTTAGCTTATTTTGCTTTTTTTCAGAGGTAATTACAGGGTCACACTGATTCCCCCGTATCAGTGCCCTGCCCCTGCCGAGTGACACCCACCATGAATTCGGCCCTGACTGTTGATTTTTCCATGTGCAGAGCCTGCCAAGGACCTCATTCAGCTGCAGAGCATTTGCTGATACTTCCTCTCCCCAGCACTTGGCTGTTATTTATTTTTCTACAATTAATGCTGCCAGTCTTTTATGATAGCAGAAGATTTTGCACGCACAAAAATAGTCAGGAAGCAAGAAGTTAGGACATGTTACGCTTTCCCTGCCTTTTTTTTTTGCTGACTGCCATCACCAAGAGTTTCTTTGGCCCCTGATGCAGCCCAGCACCTTATTCCCTGCTGAGCACAGACCCCTCTACTTGTCCTACAACCGGTGCTGTTTGCAGGGGCACGTACTTACATGAGAGACCAGCCCAGGTAGACGGCTGTGCTGCCCCAGTACATGGGATTATCCAGGATGCTGAAGGGGAAGCTGGTCACTTTTGCCTCCATCAGGATGCCAAAATAATCACCTGCAAGGCAAATAGAGGGTTTCTGGTTAGGCTCCATAAAGCTGGGAGTCGTGCGGGGCTTTGGCACCCCGATACCCTCCCGGTGCCATGGGGCATCCCTGCCAGGGATGCAGAGCGAAGGTGAATGAGGGGTTTTGCTGCTGACTTCCAGGCTGAGAAAACAGCAACAAACAGGTTGGCTGTTTACTCGGTATCTATCAGCTTTTCCAGGAAAGGCTCTTTGCCCACGAGGAAGGTTTGTGCATTGCAATGAGGCTACAGCAGCCACATCCCTCATCAGGAGGCAGCTCTCAAGGTCCCAACTGGCTGATTCTGGCTTTCTCATTTGAAAACTGCCCATCTGATGCCACCTGACAAGGAAGCAAGTGGATAGGATCAAATTCATTTAATGGGGAAATAAGCCCAGTGCACTGTAATAGTGTTTTGAGATGTTATAATCACGACCGCCACCACCAAATGCCCTCATTCAGTGTCACCTTTATCTCACAGTTCAGAGAATTTCTCAGAATTTCAGAAAATAGCACCTCTGCCTACAAAACACTCAATTATCAGCATGATGGTGATAATAGGTGATTGTCATCTGTAATGAGGAAAGCTTTCAGAACTGTCAGCATCCAACCAGCTTCCTATCTACCTCGGAGTAATCCTTCCACCCTCCTGAAAGGAGCCTGGCAAAGAAATGACAAGCAAGGAGATGTTGTGCAGTTTGTGAATGGCATTTTGGGGGGAGAAAGGGCCAGGATACAGATCTCTGACTTCTGTTGGTCTTACCAGCGAGACCACAAAGCCCAGCAAGGATTTTGCTCCATGTCTGCCGCATAAGACGCAGCATCAATCAGCGAGAAGCAGTGCCGGTCATCAGCCCAGGGAGCTGCCACTGACCCGGGTCACGTTCCCAGCTTTGCTGCCAGCCTGTTCCCTGACCTTGGGCAAGTCTCCTCTGTCCCTCCCGGTGCTATTGTGCACCGATCATAATATCTGTCTTTCTTATAGCGTGGAGGGTGGTGAGGATTAATGTATGGTGAGAAAGTGCTTGGAAATCCAGATAAAAGGCATTACAGGAGTGCAAACTATTCAAGGTTGTTATTATTATTAGCTGGATCGTAGTGTAATTTCTTTGACCTCACATGGTGCAAAAACATTTATTTCTAAGGATAAACAGCGCCTGCCCAATTAGACAATGCTTTTGGGCTTTAACTATAGGCCACTAAGTGAGATAATTGCCTGGTATTCATACTATATGTTCTCACAGTTACTTGGCAATGCATCTCTGAGATTGTTCTGGTAGAAAGAACACATCACCCCCTGCCACAGCCCATTTCTGTGCTTTCTTATGTGTCAAAATGCTTCATTATACCCTGCTCGCCTTCGCCTTTGGGCTGAACACCTCGCTGCCCAAACGGTGCTGGCACCGGGGAGGTTCGCACAAAGCCCTGGGTCCGTGGGGCTGGCAGGGGCTTATCTGAGCCCAGCACCGGTGGGGCCGTGGGACCCTCCAGGCAGGCTCCCTGCAAGCAAAAGCACACAGCAGCTGGGGGGAGCAGGCAGCTCTCCCAGGACACAAGCTTTTCCGATGTAAACCCTGCCTCCAAACCCACACAGTTAAATGAACGTGACCACCAGAGAGGACCTATGATATTTTTATATTCAGGCAGGTGCTAAGGGAAAGGACCGTGCATCAGTTCGCACACCATCAGCCTGAGCATCTCCAGTGCCTCCATTAAGCTCTCAAAACAGGAATCCGCTCCTTGTCAGGCTGAGGGACTTTGGGATCTAATTTGGGTTATTTTTTTGCTGGAGGTCAGTGTAACCATCTCGCTGCACAGGGTAGACACTTTGGATCGCAGCAGCAAAAAGCCGGTTGATGCACTCCGCAGGGACCCCCACGGTCCCTGGAGCCCAACCTGGGCTGAAGCACCACCTCCGCTTCGCTCCGGAGAGCCACCGGCTTCACCATAGCCCAGTGACAGACTTCAATCAAGTCAGATTTACTTGAAATCTTGGTCAGCGCTGGAAGGAACCGCGGCCGGGTGCGAGACAGATGGGCTCAGACAGGCAGAGCCGCCTCTCGATGCCCGCGGCCTCTGGGAAGCCAAGCCCTCGTTACTACATTTGTCAGGAAATAGGGCAAACGGCGAGGCAGACGGCGCTGAACTGATGCCCGAATCCCTGCGAGGGCATGGTGCGGAGACGGGGTGCCAGGAGGATTGCTCTGCAGAGAAGGCTGCTGGGGCGAAGGGCCACATCCAGCCACTGCAAACAGAGGCTGGGGTCGGTGCTGGTGTGCGGGAGACGGGGTAGCACCGAAAGGCTTCTTGCAGAAGGGTGACTCCCGCTGCTCCCGCTGCACCGTTTAGCCCACACATAAGAGACAAAGTGCTCTGCAGCCGCTCCAAAGCTTAAATGTCCTGTTAAAGAGGAATCTAACAGGCAGCCCCAGTGCAGTCTCTGTGCCCTGCATGTTTTAGCCCTCATTGCCATAGGAAAACCCAAAAAGGAAGGGTCAAATGCTGTGCTAATCAGTTCTTGAAGTGCTTGGGTGTCAGAGGCTCTCTCAAAACTTCTCTCGAGCTCAGATATTGACTGTGAGAAGAAGCTGGATGATCCTATAACCCCCTTCTTGCCAAAGCAGCCCTTTGCTAACCTGGAGTCAGAAGTGCTTTTGCTGCTGGGGGAGCCTGCTCCTCCCGCAGCACCAGCACATCACTGAAACCCTGCGTGCAGGAGGACGTTGGAATTACCAGTCCCAACTGAGTCCTGAGCAAGAGACCATCCCACATGAGATCCTCGGAAACCAGCAGACCCCTCGTCTTCCCCAAAGCTGGGTAAGAAACCATGCTGAACAGCATTCTCCATTAAGAGTTTGCTGACTTGGGGGGTTGCATGGAGCTGAGAAGTCATGCTCAGTCCCAGGATGGATGCTCTGCAGGGCTCGAGCTGGGCCATGCCTCTGTGGCACAGAGGTCCTGAGCCAGCCGGCTGCACCAGCACGTGGTCTTGGCATCTCCCCACCCTGACTCAGCTCTGCCCCAGTGCCCGTCATGCCCCAGCTAGCAGAGAGAACTGGCCTCGCTCCCTGCTGTGTCATGCAAGACTCGGAGTCATGCAGACTCAACCTGGTGTGCTGCCGGTGGCAGGGAGAGCCTCCGCTGGCCGAGAGGATGGAGCAAAAGTGCCCGATACGGGCCACTAACGCCTGCCTCTTCCCTGCCCGGGGGGATACCGGAGCCTCCCACCGTGCAGAGTGGAGCGGGACAGGGCCACTCTCACCACTTAACACTGAGCCTGACTCACTTGTTTGCTTTCCTCCAGCCGTTCAAGTCCAGTGGATCTCCTGGTTGGATGAATCAGGCTTTACGTAAACAACCCCAGACCTGGCTGAACTTTAGGAGCATTCGAGCAGCTCTTGCTGGTGGGTTCTCCTATGCCCAGCCTCTCCGGACATGTCTCCGCAGGCACCGCATCGCTCCTGGGGGCTGCAGGCGATTCTGGAGGATGCCAGTGCCCGGTAGCTGGGGGACAGGGGTGTAACACAGGGCGAGGAGCGGGACTGCACAGAAGTGTGAGGGCACGTGTTCAGGAGTGCTGAGCTCTATTTCTGGCAGCAGGATCTTGGCCAACTCAACACATTTCGTTACAACTCCACTTGAAACCAGGAAGGCTTATTACCTCCCTCTCTTCTTCCTGGCGACGCTGCAGGAACTAATTGAATTTGGTTTGTAAAGCACTTGCAAAAGCACAGCCTAAATGCAGTGTCAAAGCTGGGGCTGTGATTATTTCAGCCAGCGGGAGCTGCCCCTTTCCTTAGATATTTATTGTTCCTGTCTCTATTTTATTTTTATGAATTCCACACATACTGGCATGTTTTTAAAGTCAACAATGCTAATAGAATTACTCTCTAAATGGGAAAGCAGGCACAGTGGAAAATGCTTCTGCCATAAAGCGGCAGATAAAAGAATCTGTCAACGAACATCAGGTTTATTGCAGAGGGAAGAGCAAACGAGATCCTGCCTCGGCGCATGTGTCGAGCGTGTGGGGGCTCAGAGCAAGGCTGCCGGACAGCTCGTACCCGCTGTGCTGCTGCCGATGTGCTCGCGGGGTCTGCACTTGGGGTCCCTTTTCTGGAGGGCATTTGGATGGTCAGAGGATCAGCTGCTTTCCATAATTTCAGGCTTGACACGGAAGGTGATGGGACTCATCGTATAAACCACTGCACCATCTTCTCCATGAGAGGTAACAGCATGGCTAGATCATGCTTTGGCATCATAAAGACCAAATCTAACAGCCCTGAAGGCAAGGACGAGGAAATTCTTACTGGACTCTGCCCTAGCAAAAGACCCCTGCAAGGATTAAATGCACTTTCTGGTTAAGCTGTTGAATTTTCAGTGCTTACCTAGGAACGTCCCGGTGAATCCCAGTGCTAAGAAGCTGGAGATGACAAACAAGGTCCCTACAGCCAAGACGGCCAAGCCTAAGTAATAGGCCCAGTGGCAGTCCAAGCCCTCCAGCTTCGGCTGGCTCTTCATGGCTTCGGTGAAGCTGTCAGAGAGAAAACAAGGGCTGTTAAAAGCAGCGACTCATTACTAACACCACTCACCTCTCCCTGGGAGATGCGGAGCTTTGGAATAGGATGCTGCTGAGGACCCTTCACCAGGTCCCTTTTTCCACCTGGATCTACTCAACTTCCCAACAGGAGAAGCAAGGAGCCAAAGTCTTGTGAGCAGCCAGGGTTTGACCCGGGGCAGCTATTTCTACTTGTAACCCTTACCCACTTGTGGAAATACCAACCCCACTGAACTGTAATATCAAAAGCTTTGCCTCGCTTGCCAAAGTCCAGGTTTTATCGTGACCGGGAGCTCTGGGAAAGATGCCCTTGCAAATGCTGGAGGCTGCGATGCCTCAGCACAGGACTTGAAGGGTTGGGAACAATCGGCTGGGTTATCTATCTCATGCTCCACCCCCGTTTCTCTCCATCAAAATATTTTGCAGCATTCATGTGTTAGCCACGTGCCCAGGAGTGATTCATGGCTGACGCCTGACAGTCAGGGGGAGGATTGGAATGGCGAAAGGAAAATACTAGAGACATGCATTTTCAAGTGCGAACGCAGCTTCTCAGCTCCAGGCTTGTTCAGGCATTTCAGGTCTGACCTTCCAAACACTCATTTGTGAAGTGGAATAATTGTGAACCCTCCCCTCAGCCCCCTGAACTTTGCCCGGAGCAGGGCCTGGCAGGCTCAGCATCTCACGTAGCTCTGATACAAACATACAACTACAAAGGAGACAACACCGTGATTAAAAAAAGATGCCCATTAAGAATAGCAAGAGGAGATAACAGACCCGCAGAGCCATACACAGTGTTTCTCCACATGTTGCTGACACATGAGGTAGGAAACTTTGAGTCTTTTTTTAATGAGCACCCTGGAGGCTGAAATTCAAGTGGAATAACAGCTCTCCCGTGCCTCCTGCCACCGCTGCCTGCCAGGGCTGGGCCAAGAGAGCTGCTCCTGCCCGCTCTCCCAGGCTCCTCGGCTGGAAAATGCTTCCATGACGTTACCTGTAGGGCTTGGGACAGTTTTTTTTCCCTGCTGTCCAGCTTCCCCAAACCCTGCAAATTCCTGGATTTTCTCTGTTGCCCAAATGAAAGCTGAGAGGGACAGTCCCGCCTGATGGACAAGCAGCTGGAAACGCACCTTTAGAAGGCTCAAAGACCAGATGGCAAGTTACAGGCACCAAGCAAAGTCCAGGATGATATTTTAAACCTCATGGTTTAGGGACCTGGATGATATTTTTTGTTTTCCCTGGAGCTCGTTCCTACTAGGTTTTCTATTGTTGGGGAGTTTTTAGGACCCCAGAGCAAGCCATTCAATCTTCGTTTTGGACTGGAGCAAGGAAACAAAACACAGAATAAAAGTAACGTGCTTGGGAGCGAGCAAGAACACAGCATCTTGGTGATTTATGCTCTGCTCTGCCACACTGGAAATTACAGGGAAATTCCCTTTTCCAGGGAGCAGAGCGCAGGCAGAGGAATGACAGCGTGGCCCTGGGCGATGTAACGTCCCTGGGGCTGGTCCTCCTCCAGCACCCAGCACACCTCCCTGCACTCACCAGGCTGACGGTGGTTTAGCTTAAAATCATTACTGATTGGAACACACGAATCTGGCTGCAACACGAAGCAGCAGCAGCTGCACAACCTTTTGCACAGTTTCCCTGGTATTTATTTTTAAATGACACAAGTCTCCCCTATGAGGAAGCCCAAATCCACATCCCTGCTGCCAGCGCTGCCTGGGATTGGGAAGAAAGCAATCCCCCTGCAAGGACGTGCCTTGAGCAACCCTCGTCTGGCCGTGCTCTCAAATCACAACATGACATCCCCGGGGATGCTCTGGAGCAATTTGCTCCCACAGAGGAAGATGCTAATGCCTTTTCACAGCATTGGGGGGTTGATTCCGCAGCTGGCCAGGACCTCTCCGCAGGGCATTAGCACCGGGAAGGAATCTCACAGCAATCAAAACCCACTGCTGCTGATCCCTGGGGAAGCAGGTCTGGGAGAGCAACACTGAGCCGGCCGCTGCCTGGATCCCAGCTCCCAGCAAAGAGATGGCAGAGCAGCAAAAGGTACAGCTAGAGCACAGCACTCGGAGGCTGCTTCTCACTCCGGATGAGCTGGATTCGTGCTATCTTACATCCTTGAGGCTCTTCTATCCTATGCTAGTGACCTGACTTGGCCTTGGAGCACGAGAATAACAAAGGTGGCTTCAAGAGCGTGAACTGGCTGACTGCAAATCAACCTTGGAGGTTTTGCAACCAGCACGTGATGTGGTTTGTTTTGGCAAAGCCGTCTCCCCTGCTCCAGATGATCCCATCCTTCCTTTTCATGGTCGGATAGGCCTGCATTAGTTATCCTCATCAGCATGTCTTGCTCGGTCCCCTGCTGTTTGGCTTACAGCTAGAGAGGGAGGTGTTTGCACGGAGATAATGGACTGCCTTTCCCTCTAGTAATGTTTTATATCTTCCTAAACACACTCTCTATTTGCATTAAACATGATGCACACAGGAGTTTTCAGAATTGGTAAATAAACCTTTTAAGCATTTATGATGCTGGGCCATGACAAGCAGCACGGAGTCGTCAATTATTCTGGCATCCGCGACTGCTCCTCGGTGGCAGAGGAGCCTCACCACGCCGCATTTCACCCTCCCTGGCAGGGGGAGGACAAGGTGTTGGCCGTCCCCCCCTGCTAGGGGAGCCAGTCATGCAGCCAATCTGTCATGAAAGCAGTCCCTTTCACCATGTGCCTCTGAGTCACGTTTGTTACAGCATTTATTTCTGGCTGCACGACAAGGCAGCGGCCCAGCTCGGTACCCAAGAGGACACCAATTAAAGCCATGCTTTGTCCCAGTACCTGGAAATGCTTTATGGGCAGAGCAGAGCGATTGCCATGGTGAGGAGCATCCCTGTTACCAGCACAGGGGAGGGGTGGGTGGACTGCAACCTACTTTAATCACATATCCAGCTGCTATCACGAGGATGCCTGTCATCAGTGGGGAGGGGGGGCTGGAAGGTGCCCCCAGCTTTGGCAAATGGAAATTGGGAAAACGGGGCTTCCCTTGACATCTCCCCACACTTGCCAGTGTGAAGCATGATACCAGAGGAACCCATTCTCCACCCCAGCAGGGAAAAAACCAAATCCATCAGCTCTGCTCTGGCCGAATTGGCAGATTTGGCCAATTCCTGGCAGGGTGGGAGCAGCCGCAGTGGCTGCAGCGGGGCTGCACAACTGCCAGAGCGTGCCGCAGGTTTTGCATGGGGAAACCAAGGCAGCGGGTGTTGTTCCGCCCACCCATCCCAAAACAGAGATGCGCTTGCTCAGACACTCAGCTGTTGCTGCTGCTTTGTGGGGATCATAGACTGGTTTGGGTTGGAAGGGACCTTTAAAGGTCATCTAGTCCAACCCCTCTGCCATGAGCAGGGACATCTTCAACTAGATCAGGTTGCTCCGAGCCTCGACCAACCTGACCATCCCAGAGATGGGGCATCTCCCACCTCTCTGGGCAACCTGCGCCAGTGTTTCACCAGCCTCATGGTAAAAGAATTTCTTCCTTGTATCTAGTCTGAATCTACCCTTTTTTAAGCTTACCACGTAAAACCACCTGAACTGGAAAAACACTCAAAAAAGGAACTGAAGCATGGGGATGACATCACACCAGTGGGCTCACTGGAAGAAAGCGGGAGTGAAAGAAATCAGCTGCAGGTCCTCTCGCTGAGACACGGAGAGGACATGCAGCCAGGTTTGCACAAACGGACACCGATTTATTCAACCAGACAACAGAAACTGCAAGACCAGAAAACTTATCAAACCCACAGCCCAAAATACATCCCCAAAGGCCGCGCGGAGCATGAAACAAACCTGGAAATACCGTACTGAGAGAGAAGCTGAGCTTTTTAGGTCTCTAAGCCTCTCTCAGTGGCCCAAAGCAAGCATATTTTGTAATCCTTTCCCTGCAAAGGAGGGCAAAGACGTCGTCCAGCAAACTGGGTCGCTGCTGGGAGCAGCCCAGCAGTGCTCCCTTTGCCTGATCCCAAAAATTAGCCTGGAAACTGGGGCTGGCAAATGCAATTGGGGCAGAACTGGGCCAGGGACGGCAGGCAGTGAGGAAGCAGCGGTGGTGCAGGCGGCCAGGGTTTCGGAGGCAGCAGCTGCCGCTCCAAGGTGCCGTGCTTACCATGCGGGACGTCGGTCTGTCCCCCACGCCTGAGGTTTTGTTCCTCTCGGCAAAAGGAGGCAACGGGGGTAAAACCATCCGGTGGTGCCCAGCAGCACACACTGCAACAAAAGATCTTGTTCATTTGAAAACAGCAACTCCAACAACACTAAAATCGTCCTGCCGATACCACTGGCAATTGTTAGCCCAGTCATCATCTTCACAGCTTCTTTTGCCAATAATGACTTTGCTTTCCTGCCAGCGCCGGTGCGCATGTTATTTAGGTCAGCTGGGGGCTGTGGCAGCTTCTCCCCCCGCCTCACATCTCAGCTGCCCGGTTTCCTCGTCTGGATGCCCGGCAGCTGCACTGGTGGGGGCAGGAGGTGCTGTTGGCCACCTGGGGCTTTTCCCAGACACCCATCAGAGATTGCTGGCAGCGTGGCTCAGAGGGGACATCGGCTCCTTCAGGCCACACTCGATTCCCATCATCAGACTTGGTCGCTTCTGCACAAAAGGCCATGTGGCTCTCCAATCGATACCGTTTACACCATGCTCGTTCATGGTACTAGCTTACAAAATTAAACAGCATTGACCATAAAGCTGAGAGGCACTACCTGGCAATGACAAACAACCCCTTCCCTGTGCAAAACCCCGTCCCAGGGTGGATTAATTTTCTCGGAAGCATCAGCTTCAAGCGAGAAGCCCGTCCATGCAGGAGACAATACCCAGCGGGTGGCATCAACGAAGGACTTCATGTCAGCCGGCAGCGCGGTACCCACCGAGCACATTGCCAAAGGTACTGCTCTCGCTTAGCTTCTGCGGGGCTCACTCATGGCCCCAGGCACCCCAAGACCCTCGCATCTGCAACCCCCCCCATTCAGGGTGTGCACGTGGGTCTTGCCTTTACAGCTCAGGCGAACACCCCAAGACCCTCAAGGTGGGAAGTTCATAAGCTCCCTGAGTACAAAACCACTTGCACACACCTGCCTCAAGGGGAGTTTGCCAGGGTGCGCAAAAGGGAGCGCAGGAGGGCTCAAAGGCAGTGCCAGCGGCTGATTGTAGAGCTGATGCAGGGAAAGATATCAACAACGTGGTAAGGCAGGAGAGAGTGACACTGGATGTAAGTCTGGAGGACAGGGAAGGTTGTCACGTCCCGTGTCACACAGATAACAGTCATAAACCGCTGGGGTAGCACATGCAGCGTAGGTAGTTCAAAAGTTCAGGAATTGTTTTCACAGATAAGAGCCTCAGTGATGGAAGTTCCCTGTTTCTTGCAGAAAGAACATGGCTGTAATGAAAATAATCATTGCACCAAAGCAATTAAGCATGCTTCTCTTGTGCAGTTGACTAAGCAGGTCACCCCCTGGTCACAGGTCATTCTGGATTGCTTCTCAGAAGCAAGCCAAGGCTGATAATGAAGCTCAGAGCTGGGAAGCACCTAATTGCTTAATTGAGCACAAGACATTCCTCTTCTTACACCCAAGCTATCCCTTCCGAGCAAAGCTTGCATGAGAGCATCACGGTGCTGAACTGGGCACAGGACCACAGCAGAGACCCCTGCGTGGGGTGGGCGACGAAGCAACCGCGCAGCCCAGCGCCCGGGTGCTTTTAGCTGCAATGCCAACCCACTCGCAAAGTTTCTGTCTGCTCTGCCCTCCCCTCCTCCGCCTCCAGCTTGGAGCCTTTCAAAAATTCAGCTGAAAAAAGGAAGCAGGTTTTTAAAAACAAAAGAGACATCCCGTGGGCTCCTCAATAGCTCCCTGGCAGCCCCCACCAACATAAAAAGTCCCCAAAGCACGCAGAGAGGAGTTTTAAAGGCTGGATTGCAGCACTGGGGGTGGAAGGACCCCCTGAGGCTGCCTTTTCGCTTGCTATCAGCAGCCAGCACGCTCTGCGCAAGCAACCCTGACCACCACGTGCAGCCGAAGCGCAAGGCACAGCCTGCGCTTTGCCGGCTGGATTGCCTCCATGGGACTGAGGAGTGGAAAACCTGCTTTCATCAGTGCCCTCGGAAAATAAAACAAAGGGAAAAGCGAAACAGCCAGAGCGTCCCTCCTGCCATCACTGGCCAGAGAGATGACAGTGCCTGTGTCGTATGACCTGTGAACCCCCTCTGGCCAGCCGAACCCCGGTTTGGAGCTGGCTGATACCTTCATGCAAGGGCAAGGGGCAGGATGAATCCTTCCCAAACAGCACAACCTCTCCAGGCTTGAGGAATAAACCTTGGGCAGCTGTGGAGGGCTCACTATGCTGGGAATGGAGGCAGGGAGTCTCCGAGGTGCATTTCAGGGCAATTCCACTAGTTGCTGCTCTGATGTCCACCTTGAAACCATCTCATCACTCCCACACTAAAGGGCTTGCCTTGCTTGAACAGCCTCCAAAACCTGCTAGCCATCACTCGGGCCAAATTCAGTGCCAAGGAAAGGTAAGGGAATACCCAACCATGTTGGAACACCTAGGCAAAATAAACTTCACGCTCCAATCATCTGAAATGGCCTTGGCCCATCGTGGTGGGCTGGCATCTCCTCCGTGTTCTGCTGGGGCTGAGCTGCCCCATCTTCTAGAGCCTCTCCTCCAAAACCAAGGTCCAAATGAGGCTTTTCCAGCCCCCTGTATTGACCTTGCTGTTTCCTTCAGGACCCAACTCATGGGCTGCACAGGCAGAGCCACCCCCAATGAGCCCCACAGCACTCACAAACTCATGACATAGAGCAGAGCCAAGACAGCCAGCAATGCCAGCCCTGGTAGGACGCTGAGGGGTCTGTAGGGGGAAAATGTGATGTAGTGCTGGGACAGATGAGGTCTCTTTGGCTCTTCCAGCAGTTCCCCATCAGTGCCTCACTGTGACCCAGAGATCCTTGCTGACCCAGGAGCCAGCAGGACCACTGGGAACAGAGACTGTCTCTCCATCAGCTGTGTTTTTAATTAAAAGCAGGCACAAGGCTTTGCATTGCTTCCCAGACAACAAGTGACTATGTCATCTGTACAAGAGACTGCCGAGACATTCCCCAGCGAAATCCAAGCCCACTGTGACACTAAGACATCAGCAGAACACACACATTCCCTCTGCATTGCCTGCATTCAATTACAGCCCCATTCATTGCAAGCTTTCTTACAGTTTCTGCAATAAGCAGTAGCTGGGACAAATGCAGAAGGGCAAGGGCAGGTCTTGGTGTCACTTCCAGGAAGGCAAAGCTCTTAAATACATGTGCAAACTCCAACCTGAGATCTCTGCACCTGGGAAATTACCTAAAGTACTAAACAACCCATTAGCTCTGACCCTGGCATAATTGAATCTGGGAATTTAGTAAGAGAGTCTGTCTCTCCTAACAGCGCTGAAGATAAAGCCTACCAGATCACAGATAAATTGCTGGCATTGAGGAAATCTTCTGCAGTAAACCTCTCTGCTGCACTCAGAACGTCAAAGGACATATTCCCATGGTGTACGGTGTACCAGTCATACAATACTATTAGCTAGCACAGGTGGTATTTAAAGAGATCGCAGATAAGAGTTTAAAGAGACTGCTTGCTAACTGCACAGATAATCCTGCTCTTTTACACAGGAAACTGTGGCTTCTTAAAGGCAGTTTTAAATTTTTTATGATTTCTACGAGAAAATTAAAAAATTCTGCTGTTACATATGATCCATCCTGTGCAAACAGCCCTCCTGTCACCTGGGCTGCTCTCAGGGCAGGGGAAACTGCCCCCGGAGAGCAGAGCAAGGAAGCCTGCGACACTCAACGGCTGTTGACACTGATGGTTTTGGCCACACTGCTGCATCCTTTGTCTTTACTACAAATCCTGGAATAAATCTGCTGCTGGCTGAAGGTATCCAACCACGTAAAAGCAATACGCTGGGGCTGGATCCAGCGCTGCAGAGCAAGTATCCCTCATCCCCCCTGCCCTGTAGGGGCATTTCTTTGCATCAACACATAGCAGTAGAGTTAGCTCCTTACCAATGGCTCCGCACACAGTTAAGCATCAGGATAACAGCGCCCAGGCAGTAGCAGGCAGCATGTGGAGAGCCGAAGACTCGGCTGAGCGCTCGCGTTTTGTGCTCCCATCTGGCTACCTGAAGAGACAACAGAAAAGAAAGCGGGTGGTTGGAGGTGCCTGGGCACGTGCTGCCCCAGGAGCGTGAATCCCACGGCCTCGGCCCCACGCCGGGGGATGCACACCGTCTGCGTGGCTTTGCGCAAGAAGCAAGCAGAGGCCACTGACGAGACATAGCTTAAAACAAGCCTGGGGATGAAAGCTCTTTCTCCTACCCATGCCAGCCCCTACTAGTGCTTGCATTGCCCGTGCATTGCTAGTGCTTGCATTGCATATGTCCTTGCATTCCAGGCCAGCCAGCAGCACCGAGGCACAGGCTCATGTTAAAAAAAACAAACAAACAAAAAACCCCAAACCCCTACACATCAGTTTTGGGGAATATGTGGCTGGACAACACGTGTCCAACGAGGCCGAGAGCATTGCTAAGGCTGTCCCCAGGTCTCCAAAGCCAACAGGCTCCTGCCACAGAACCTGGTATTGCTCTCCTGGAAGGAAAACAGATCCCCAAGTAAGGGATGGATCACAAGGACACCCAGCTCTCATTTTCTGGGCTCCATCATCTCCTATATCCAGCTGTAGGGATTATACCTGAGAGGAACAACCCCCTCCCTGCTCACTTCCAGAAAAGTTTGCAAGCACTCCTCCTCCAGACAAGATCTACCAGCTTCGCCCAGTGAACTGCTTCCACTTGTACAGGCTGAACAAGCTGGCCTTCATTAGCACTCAGCAATTGTAGCCATTAAGGGCTCACCTGCACTCCTCACCCATCCCTGCACGGCTGTCTCAATGCAACCCGTACAGCACGTCAGTGACAGCCCAGGACTCACACCTACACAGGCAGCATCTCCAGGGAGGCATCAGCATCCTTTACAGCATGCTTTTCTCTGGCTGCAATTTTAAGCTCCACGTTCTGCAGAAGCTGATGGGCTCCTGCCCAAAACACCTCGCAGCTGAGGAGGTGCCCTCAACACCCTCTCAACCCGTGAGGCTGCTGCAACGCCGGTGGCTGGAGCTGCTCCCAAAATCTGCAGGACTGCACCCACCCAAGTCACCAAATCCAGGACCCTCATTCCCAAGCCGATGAAAATACTTATAGCTACTCTGTTTTCTACCTTTCCTGTACCCCTCAGAAAGCTGTCGCTGTATTTATTGCCTTTTTTTAGGCTCCACTTCCAGGCGCCACGCCTGGGGTTTGGATCAGACCCTCGATTCAAGCCAAGCAGGGCACACCTGGGCAATGAAGCGAGAGGTGGGAGTCAGCAGAACATCTCGGCACCAATTTGCTTCTCAGACACGGCTGGCACTTCATTAGCTTCAAACGCACTTCACTCCCTCGCATGGAGCCTGGGCAGCTTTTGGGAGGCACCTGCAACCCAGCTATTCATCTACTCTGAATGTATTTGGTAATTTATTGGCTCTATTTGAGCAGAGAAAGGCAGCTTTGCAGGTCCGCTTTCTTCCCAGGCTAATGCAGAAGCACAAAGTGCTGCTGGTGGAGGGGGACTCCTGGCTTGGGGAGGGGAGAACGATGAAAACCTCTGATAAGCAGGGCACTGATCTCACATGCTGAGAGCTGATTCAATTAGTTATGCAATGATTGCTCTGAAATTACAAATCCACTCATGACAGAGAGAGCTGCTTCACTGCCTTTTTCTGGCTGGTATAAATAGTTTGTATTCTAAATTGAATTTAAAATACCGTGCGTCACGCTGCTGCTAAAATGGGAGCCGCTGTTTGAATGCTGAGAGAGTGGAAAAAGAAATATAGGGTGAGTTACCACCTTTGGAAAGTAAAAAGAAGTGACCGTACAGGTGACTGAATCACAGATGGAAAAATGCAGCCACGTGCCAGTTATCTGTACCGACTTCCTAATTCCCTGGAAATTATTCTGCCGGCGTTTGCATGGATGGCAGCTCCTGGTTCGCTTCGAGAGCTTCGCAAAAGCCTCTCAGTCGGCGGCAGAGCTGAAGCTGAAAGAGAAGGCAGCGTCGCTGGGATCAGAGGGGAGAGCCCGCGTGCCTCTGGGAGCCGTCAAGGCGGCCTCGTAATTACCCTTGCCTTTAGAAAAGCATATCTGGGCAACGACAGAGCGCAGCGGGGCGAGGGGACGCGTTTCCGAGCCCTTTGGGGCACCAGCTGGCTCGACTGCGTTGGGATCGCTCCCAGCAACAGCCCAACTCACGCTGCATCACGTCGCTGCCGACTCCCCGGCTGGGACCGAGACGCCAACTTTTATTTAGCTGTCACAGCCTTCAGATGGGACCCCGGGCTCTTTTTCTGAGCCCACGCGGGAGTCATCCCGAGCAAAGCAGAGCGGGAGCCTGCGTGGGGCTGGAAGCGGCGGTGCCCGCCAGGCCCCGCGGCGATATTTCAGCAACAATTAATTTGTTCCGGTTCTGGTTCTATTCCTTGAACAACTAATTAGTTCTGGCTCAGTTCTAATTTTCTAATTTTAGTAATTTCTAGCTAATATTAGCTCTCGTTCGACCCATGGCTACGCAGCTGGCTTAATGGCTTTATAAAATCATGAGCTGATGTGTTATTATTTACTGCATGACGGATGCAAAACGCTTTTAGCATCCTCCGTGGCCGTGTGCGGGACACGGCAGGGCTGAGACCAGTGGCCTCCTGGGGAGGGCTGCAGCCGTTCCCAGTGTGCTGTTTGCCCTCCCAGCCAAAGCCAGCACCGTGCTGCCCGCAGGCGAGCACGGCGTCGGGGAGGAAAAGCCCCACGGCCATGGCTGTGTGTCCCGGTGAGGGAGAGAAGGATGCATTTTTATTTTTCTTCCAACCTCCAAGTTTGGAAACGGAGTTAATACAAAGTTTCCTGACTTACCCAAGGGTCAAAGCAATAGAAAAATTCAAGGCTCCTTTTCCAAAGCTCCCAGCCCTCTGCTTTCACTTTAGGATACTTGGTGAGGGCTGTAAGTAATTTTTTTAATGTTTCCCCCAATGCTCGTTATTGAAATAAATCAACGAGCGGATGTGGCTGCAAAGCCAGGGAGTGCTCTTGGGTCCCATGTTCTGCCTTTGGCAGGCCGTTTCGGCGCTCGTCGGGGGCAGACACAGCCGGCTGATGTTCCCAGGGAATCGCCGCCTCCTCTACGTAAATTCAGGGCTGATTTCTACATAACCGAACCGAGCCATCTCCCCAACCGCTTGGGCAAGTGCGTAAACAAAAATGAAAGCACCAGCACGCATTCCCAGTGGCTGCCCAGATACAAAATGGAAATGCTCTGAGTTTTCTTTTTTTGGGCAGGCAAACCTTTCCGAGCCACCTCGAGAAGGGCCACAAATAACCATTCGAAAGGCAATTTCATCTCACCAACGTGTCTCCACAGCTGATCAACAGGAAATGCTCTTTACAGCTCTGTGTGCACGGCAGACCATTGCCTCTCATTAATATTTAGTATTTGTTTCAAGGAAATTGATTATTTTTGTCTGCCATCCAGGGAAGCTGGCTTTTGAACACGCTACATTTTAATTTGCTCAACCCCAGCTCTGAAATAGAGACTCTGTGCTGTTTCGCGTGACTCCATTTCTATATCTGGCTCGCCCCAGAGATGGGGAACGAAACCAGATAGCCCAAAGGCTCAGGTCTAAGGGACATTTTGCATCTCAGTGCTAATCAGCCGATCTACGTCCTCACATTGCCCCATTGCCATAGTATCTGAAGAAGACGGTGTGGGCACGAGTGAATTGAGCCTTGCGGCATGCCTGGGAAGCTGGGATGGATTAGCAGCTCCCTTCAACCCAAGGGAAACTGAGGCACCGGAGGGTTGAGGCAAGCAGTTCCTTCCCAGTTCTCCAGGGAGCAGGATGGAGGGGCTGTGCCCTCATCCCGGGAAATCCTGGACCCATTGCCCACTCAGGGGCATGCTCTGCCCACTTCTGGGGATGCTCTTGCCCTGCCCAAACTGTTGGCATAAAAATATTCAGTGCCCAAGTCTGGGCTGTAGAAAAGATGGCAGTGAATAGGATACGCTACCTTCACCATCCCTGTCTTGCAGTATTTGCCATCATGAAGGATTTTGCCCCATCATGTGGGGTCTAGGAAGCAGCCCACCAAGGGACCCAAAAGTCAGAAATTTCATGAAAAGCCAAGAGGAAGAACAATCAGCTCCCCAGGGCATGTCTGCACCCCAGTCCCAAGAAGATGTGCGTGGGTAAGGTGAGCCCTGGATGCACAAATGATTCAGCCCTAAGTAAAAAAAAAAAAACCTTCAGACAAAACTGACCTGAGCAAACTTTTTAACTTTCTCCTTCAGTCTGGCCTTTCCTAGGCCAGCCATGGGGGTACGTCCTCCTGCAGGTGCTGGGGCAGGAGAAACCCTGGCTCTGGACTTAGCTGGCTCCGTATGAGCATCTCCCATCGGGGCAGACGTGCCCTGCCTAGCCCGTAACCTGATGAAAGGGCAGGAAACCTGATGTTACCCTTATTTCACCTGCGAGGACCAGAAGCACCGACCTGTTCCCCTGTTATGAAAAATCCATTTTTCCTTTCTGATTCGCTGGAATCCCTCATTAAAATGTAATGACATTCTCTGTCACTGCTTGGATGCTGGAAAACAACCCTGCTTGCAGCTGCTGCATTTATCTAAAAGGGAGGAAAAAAGATACACCCGAGCACCCAAACTCTGACTGTGGTGCTCCTGGGAGCGAGCAGGGAAGCAGAACCAACACAGAGCCCGGCAGCAGAGCAGGCTGCAATGTAAATGCACGTCCACTACCCGCCTGCGAGCGCTGGGGCTGGCTGACCTTTGCCGAATGCCAGAGGAGCCAGCCTTTCTGGCTGTCCAAGTGACCGCGGAAGAAATGAGGGTGGTCTGACCTTATCCCTCCTAATGAACCGTGCTCGAGCCCCTCTGCAGTCGGCAGAGCTTAGTGCAGATGGTTTATTGCCCACGTGCCGGTAGGGAATCGCCGATAGTGCCGGCTGAACACCATGGCCAGGCTGAAAGCTCCAGCCTGCGCTCCTGTAGTCACTCAAGGCAAATGTCCGAGTGCTCGTGCTGCTCC